GGGGGGTGGGGGGGGCAGCACAGTGTGGGTAGAGAAGGGGGGCCCGGCGTGTGCGTGTAAGCTGAAGGAGTGCGGCATTCTAGGCTCCACGGGTAAAGAGTGGATGTGAGAGGAAGGACCCCCGGGGTGACTGGGAGGGCTGCCTTGGACCTGAGAACGAGAGATGTTCCGAGCTGCTTGGCAGAGCAGGGTGGCAGGCCTGGTCAGGCTGGACCCTCACCTGCCTGCCACCTCTCGGGGCAGCCCTGCCCCCTCCTCATCCCCCATCTGGCCTGATCAGAGCTGGATGTGGAGTTACAGCACCATGCTGGCCCCAACTTAGACTCACTCCGTTGCATTCGTGCAAGGGGCTCCAGGCTGCCCCACAGCCCCCTGAGCCCAACCCCACGCCCCACCTTACCCTCTGTAAGCCACCTGGAGATGGGAGGGAACGGCGACACCAGCTGCTGGCAGCACTGTCCTGCCCCAGCCCTGCTGCCCCCGCGGGGCCCCAGCACCCCCATGTCCCACCCGAAGCTGGTGCTGTCAGCCGCTGGCCAAAGGCGCTGCTGCAGCCCCAGCCCCCCGCCGCGCGGACCCCAGCTATCAGCTCCCTCGCCCTCCACCCTTCTGCCTTCTTCCCAGAATCCGAGCTCCTCCTTGGAGAGAGAGTGGGATGATGTCACTTCCTGAGGGCGGGGGTGGGGGGGAGGAGTAGGCACGACCCCGGCAGGCCAGCCCGCCAGGCCGCCAGCGTGGGGAGCAGCCCTGGCAACAGCTGGATGAAGCGGCCGCACGGGGGAGAGGGAGACGGGCAATGCTGGACATGCCAGCCAGCCACCCGGCCCCATGCCCTCTCACCCACCCCGAGGGCCGTGGCCCCTGGCCAGGGAAGACTTGGCCGCTTCCTTCTCGAATGATGCCTTCTCCTCAGACTCACACTTTCCCTGGAGCCATCGTTGGGGAGAGGAGGACCGGCCGCCCGCCCCTGGACCAGGTGCCTTGTAAGCCTCTACCGGCCTGGGGGCGGCTGCCCACCCATGGGGTGCCCAGCGCCTGCAGCAGGGCTCCCTCTGCATATCCAGTGGGGGGCTGCCCGGAGCCCCTCACAGGCCCCAGGCCCCGTGGGGAGCCCACCACCCACACTGCTGCCTCCTCCCAGGGGCTCTAAGGAGCGCGGGCCTGGGTGCCTGGGCTCTCCTCTGCTAGCCTGCTTGTGGCTGATTGGAATTCAGCTACTTCTGAGAGTTGCGAACTGGGCGTGACTGAGGGTGGACGTGGGAGGTGTGGTTGGAGAGGTGGTTAACTGCAGGGCTTGTCCCGGTCTTCAGTGGTGTAGACAGGCAGCATCCCAGCCGTGCTTCTGAGCCGATGCCTCAGCCACACTCATCGGGTTCTGTGTGCCGGGGCCACACCAAGTCATGGAGCACGCTCCCGGGTTCCAGCAAAGCCCCACTCAGCACGTGCTGACAGGACACCTGCTCCGAGCTGGCGCTTCTGGCCTTACCACACATGTGCCCTTGCCTCCTCCTCCCCGCCTCAGCCTTCCTCCTGCCCTGCCAGGCTTTGTGCTGAGAGACAGGCTCATTCTCGGTCTGGGAAGCCCCTAGCCAGATCCCAAGGACTGTGTGCGCCGGGCCAGGTCTTCCTGTGGAAAGACAGTGAGGGAGCTGAGGGTCCCACTGATCCCATATGGGAGGAAAGAAGGGGTGAGCCTAGGTCTTTAATGGGGCTGGACAGTGAATGTTGGGGTAACCCCAGGCAGAGGCTGATCCGCAGGGGCCAGTGCCAGTCTTGGGGGCCAGGAGAGACCTCAGGGGTAAGGCTGAAGCCATGTCCTGCTGCTAAGGTTATTTGTGTTGGCTCCCGCCCAGGGGTGGGTCAGCGTTTCCAGTGTCGTGAAGGTCCCCGGGCCACGGGACATGGGACTTGCAGTTGGCACCAGAGAGACCGGGGATGCGGGGCCCTGGGTCTGCCACCCGCTCAGGCAGCTACAGGGCCCTCTGCTTGCTTCCAGGGGGTGAGCGCCAGGCCCGCTGAGCCTCTGCAGAGCCGCCAGCCATGCCCGGGATCGTGGTGTTCCGGCGGCGCTGGTCTGTGGGCAGCGATGACCTCGTCCTGCCTGCCATCTTCCTCTTCCTCCTGCACACCACCTGGTGAGTCTCTGGGGCTGGGGCCACAGGCCTCGGGTTTGGGGAGAAGGGCCTGGAAGGCAGCTTCCCGGCTATCTGTCTTTCTTGCCTGGGCCGAGTCCTGACCCTACCATGCTCCTGGCTCCCAGGAGGAGGTGCTGACACATCGAGTCCCTGAGGGCCACACCCACACGGAGCCCAGAGACCCCTACCACCACCGCGGGACCTGACCCCAGCCCGGGTGGAAAGGCTGCTGCTGCCTCCCCAGGGCCGCCCACTGGGCTCCCTGCTCTTGCTTCCCCGTTCCTGAGTCTCTTGCTGGCCACCTGGGCCCTTGGAGGCATCCAGGGCCATGCAGCCGGTGGTCTCTCATGGGGGAAGCACTCCCACTGAGTCCAGGCTGGGGCGGGGCCTGCTGGCTGGGGCCAGCCCGGGTGCAGGGGCTGCCCAACCTCGCTCACATCGGTGTTTCCATGCCAGGTTTGTGATCCTGTCCGTGGTGCTCTTTGGCCTGGCCTACAACCCGCACGAGGCCTGCTCCCTGAACCTGGTGGACCACGGCCGTGGCTACCTGGGCATTCTACTGAGCTGCATGATCGCCGAGATGGCCATCATCTGGCTGAGCATGCGTGGCGGCATCCTCTACACCGAGCCCCGCGACTCCATGCAGTATGTGCTCTACGTGCGCCTGGGTAAGGGCCATCCGTGGGGGCTGCTTTATGCACCCCCCCCCAATCCCGTCAGCCGGTGCTGACGGGGCACATGCTGTGAACCAGGCCCTGGGCTGGCGCTGGGAGCAGCATGACCCGAATCTTTCTGGGCTCGCATTCTAGACCAGGAGCCAGCAAACTGCAACCCGGGGGCCAGCCCAGGCTGTGTTTGCAAATAAAGCTTTATTGGGACTCACTTGTTCTGTTACATGCTGTCTCTGGCTGCTGTGGCACTACAGTGACAGAGCTGAGTAGGGGCTGCCGAGACCGTGGGACCCACGAAGCCCAAGACGTTTGCTCCCTGGACCTTGGCAGAAGTTTGCCAACCCCTGTTCAAAACCACGTGCATCTCTTTAGGGCACATCTGCTTTGTGATCCTTCTCCAAACAGGCCCAGCCCTGCCTGGGGAGCTCCTCAGGGGCCTGAACCCACTCCCCAGAAGATAAGCCTGTGTCCTCCTCTCCCTGGGCTCAGGTCATTCTTAGCAAACACTTCTGTTATACTTCTGTGCATGGTGCTAAGCTCATTTTCCCATGTTAACTCCTAGGGAGAGGTGTTATTAGCCTAATTTTTTATTTGTTTGTTTTGAGTTGGAGTCTCACCCTGTTGCCCAGACTAGAGTGCAGTGGCTGCTCCCGGCCACC